TGATCTTTGACAAAGTAGCAAAGATAATATGTCATCAAATTCCTCTCTTTTCTTGAAGGCCATAGCTCTAGTTCCAGAAGTTATCAAAGGGAACAGGACTGGGTCCTTTCTGGTACATTACCTGAGGAAGATTATTAATTGTTTTATGGAGGTCTTAAGGGAAGTTTAAGCCACATTCCTGAATGATTCTAAGACAAGCATGTAAAGCTGCTTAGTTTTAGTGTGCACATCTTACCTTCCCTATAAGAAACAATACTTTGTCTGTTTTCCTTGTCATCTAACATACAGAAGAAGCATAATTAAGATTTTGCAAAATGACAAGATGGATATTTAACTCTTGACCCAGGGGTGTCTCAAACGAAGCCTCAACAATTACTCCTATTAAATTGTTAGTATACCGACCATGTGCCAGAGAGTTTCTACACTAGCATGGTCCACTAGATACACAATGTAAGCCATGTATTTTTTTAAAATTTTCTAATAGCAAGATTTTTTTTTAAAAAAGAGATAAATCAATTCAAATAATGTATTTTGTTTAACTCCACATATCTGAACCATTGTCAGTTCAACATGTACTCAATATAAAATTAATTAATGCCTCTGATTAATTGAATGGCATTAATTAATTTTATATTGAGTACGTGTTGAACTGACAATGTAAGTCACTTCTATGCATTTTAGTGTCCTCACCTGTACAATGGGCATGGGTGGAGTGGATCATCCAGGGTGGACACTACTTGCTTTCACATCCCTCTTTCCCTCTTGGTGCCTGGTAAGCTGGCTCTCCTGTTACCGTGAGGTCTTTGATGTACACCATTCCTTCTGATTTTGATGAAGCATTCTTCTGACCCTTAGCTTTCCTGGTTGGGGCAAGATGCAGCCCTTCCGAGCCCAAGAGATGTGCTGCATTTTCATTGGGGTTTCTTCTATTTTCAGCATGTGGCCCAGCATCAGCTTCTTGCTGCTTTCTTGAAAGATAGGAAACTTGTTGTCTGGGCACCCAGTCTGAATTTTCTGTCTTCTTTGTTCTCATGCATGTTGTAGAAAGCTCTACACTCCCAAGGAAATTCGACTATATATTTCCATCATTTCCCTTCTCTCTCTCCAAGAAATGCAAGAAAATAACTGTCAACTGTTTTTGCATATATAAATTTTAACAGCCCATACATGTCAACTAATCTTTTATCCAGGAAGGAAAAGCTTATTTCAAGTGATTCAAAGTTGAAATGCTTAGGTTTTCATTCTTGTTGTGTAATGGAATCACTGTGTGGACATGCTATTTTATGATTAGTTTATCAGCCCCCCTACCCCTAATCCACTAATACTAATGACTGCCTACTATGTACAAGGGCATAGTGTCTATGGAGGATAAGGCAAATGTTCGAACAACCATAGCAAAAGTTAGAAGGAGCATATCCAGTGTTTTGAGAGGGGTGTAAAGCACTAAATTCAAATATTTGGTTTGGGGGGAATCAAGGAAGTCTTCATAGAGGAGTTGTCATAGAGAATGAATCTTGAAAAAAAAAAAGTAGGTTTCAGTAAACAGAGAAGACAGGAAGGTCACTGAGGTCTGAGAAGTGGCACTGACAATTATCTATATCCTAGAGATCATATAGAAGAAGGAGGGGGAGGAGGAATAGGAGGGACCAGCATAGCATGTGGTGTGACCAGACAACTACATGTGTATTAAAGGGATTATATAAGTATAAAAGGCAGTTTGGCAAACTCAGACTAATGGCAGTAGTGTCACACTGCTTCCATCCATAGGAGACAGCTTAATGAATCACAGCCCACACCTTTCCAACTAACCTTAGGCGCTCCTCCCCAAGATGAGATTGAGTTGCCAGTCTTGGTGTAGGAGTACCGCGTTAAGTGAGGTAGAGCCTTTAATACCGTGTTGACTAGTTAGTAGTTAATTGGATAGGCAATGGGGAGACATTAAAGTCTTGTAAGCAGGGGAATGACATGGTGGGAAATGAGAGCTGTAGTTCAGGGTAATTTACTCAGCAGTGCTATCTCAAATGGATTAGAATGGTTATAAGACTGAAGGCCAGTTATTTGGAAGGTCACTGCAATAGTTTAGGTGAGCAATAGTGGCTTGAATTGAATGAACACAGGAGAGGGCAGGTGTCATAGAAGTAGAATTTATAGAACATGGCAAGTACATTAGGACAGAGAGAACTAGGGGCAGGGGTGAGAGAGGGACAGAGACACGGAGTCCCAGTAATTACTTTTAGAGTAGGAGAAATGTAGGGCTACCATCAGGAAGGGAGCCTGGGATTGACAAGAAGGTAGGTAGGGTCCTTGTAGGGCTGGAGAGAAAAAGAAGAGAAGCAAAAACCTGGATTTAGGCTTATCTCTTCTACAAAGCACATTTTTTGAAGCCTTTGTCTGTCTGAGAACTCACTGCAAGGTAAAAAAACCATTTTGAGCAAACATTGTTGCCCTTTGTCAATGAGCACATCTAAGAAAGGCTCTCATCTCTCCAAATATTTGGAAAATTGGAAAGCCCTAATTAGTAATCAGGGAAGGGGCAGGAGGGAAGGAATGAAATATAAACCCAATCACTGTGCTTTTCAGGTTTGAAATGCTTCCCCAATCCAGGAAATTTACACTTTAGTAACAATGATTGACAGTCAAGGAATGTATCTAACTCACTTTTATTTTTCCCTTGGGGAAAGCACTTGAGTTCCCAATTGTTTTAAATTGCAGAAGCAGTAATTGTCTTAGAGAGTGAGGAGAAATGTTTTTTGGAGCTGGGACCTCTCTCTGAAGGGAATATAAAGCCTATCTTAACTGGTTAAGGTCAGTAGAGCTGCTTTTCTGGGAGATCTATCCAGGGTGACTAAATCCCACCTTAGTTAAATTAGAAAAGTAAAAGTACCAGTTGAATGACCAGGGGAGCAGATTTAACCAAAAAATATTAACAAGTTGCTACTGGTACTTAAAAGGAAGCCAGAGTTACTTTTTGAGCTATTTGCATTCTACATAGAATTATTGGTGAAATTTAATTTGAAAGTATGTTTCTAAGTATTCTTTAAAAATACAATGCAGTTAATATAGTTTAAGATGCTCACTGTCCCAGAGGAAATTGTTGATTAAACTGTTCACTTGATATATTTGTTTACTTAGAAAAGTCAAGTGCGATCAGTTAGGTCAATTGCAACAAGAACATTATTAACAGGCTAACCAATGGTAAATGATGTGAAGGCTACTCTGGAAATCTGTTCTTTGATGTATGGGGAAACTCACACATCTGATTTGGGATAGAGGAGACAATCATGGCATTGTGTGTAGGCGCCAACAGACAGGCTAAAGCCAGGGATCCTTGCAGAGACTGGATTAAGGTATCAGAACTGTTCACATCTCATTTACATCACCCCAAAGAGTGGACCACAGGTTTGCTGATTAATACACAGACCATGGCAAAGAGCATTGTGTATGAAATCAGATCAAGATCAGTAACAGAAACTTCAACCATGTGTGAAATTTGGCATATAGAAGTTCCTCTTAAGCTATTATCTAACAAGATTTTAACCCCCTTATTTTTTAAAAAGCATTTTTTTCCAAACTAGAAAGTTAGCAAATGCACAATGTTCCCCAATTCTCTCCCCCACCCCACCTCCTTAAACACATATTTATGCCACCTTCTGGTATATAATAATATTTTATTGTCAAAATTTTTGAGCCTTGTGAAAGGAAGATGGGGGTGTATGTTAAAAATGGACTGATTTCATCAGTGTCTTTGCAGGCAAAAGAAAATGGGTGGATTGATATTGAGATAGAGATATCAAGATACTACTTGAATATTTCCATCCATCCAATTTGTATTGTTCCTTTATACTGTAGTTTGGGATGAAGGTCACATTGATGCAATTTTAGGTTTTAAGCATCCACTAGAAGATGGGTTGTTTCAAATGAAGGAGATCGGAGATCGTAGAATAATGCTTTCAATGATGTGACTTATTAGGAGTATCTTAATTCTATCATCCAGACATTATGAATACCACGCCAGTATATCAATCTTTTATGGCAAGACTAAACAGCAAAAGTACCAGTGGGAATCAACAATCAGCGGCCACGCAGGAGTTAGATGCAGTGTGGCATATTTTCTGCAATTTAGACAGTCAGTCATCCAACAAACAGGCCAAAGTTTTCTTCAGTAAAAAGTGCCCTGCCAAACGGCTGGCTTCTGGATTCGTCGCTGAAGAAACAGCAAAGGAGCTGAAAGCGACCTCTTTCAACCACACCAGAAATTAGCTGTCTATGGCGATACTAGACTCACAAAATCTGTTTCAGGCACACATACGTATCTAACCAAGATTGGAAACCCACTGACTGTCCCGTTTCAAAGTAAAAAGTGCCACGTCCTCCATTTTCCTCCTTCTTTGGGGTGTTAGTCCAGTTCTAATTCTTTCTTAGTTTCCACTCAGCCCTGGATAGGGCTGGCAGGAAGCTACCTGAGATTTCTCAACGTGGATAACCGCATTTGTCTCCTCCCAGGCTGACTGTGGATGGGGATGAGTTCTGTTCCCGAGAGAGTCTCAAAAGTAGACACACAATCATCTCGCCGATTTTAATTTTTGTCCCTGGGTTGAGGAGAGAGGAAGATTGGGGCGCAGGAGGAACTCCCCTCCTCCTCCCCTCTTTTCCCCACCTCCCAAAATTAGCAGCCTGTCTGTGGCTCTCGGTCTGGGGTCTGGAGGGTGGGGAATGTGGGTGTGGGGGCCGGCTGGAGAAGCTCTCGCTAGCGCTGCCTGTGGCCAGACCCGCCTCCTATCCCCTCTCGGGCGCACACACACGTCCACCTAAACACTCCGCGCGCTCCCTCGCGCTCTCGCTCGCCCGCCCGCCGCCGCCTGCTCTCTCCCTCCTGCTCTCGCCGGTCTCCTTCTCCCTTTTTTTTTTTTTTTTTGGTACCATAGAGTTGCTCTGAAAACAGAAGATAGAGGGAGTCTCGGAGCTCGCCATCTCCAGCGATCTCTACATTGGGAAAAAACATGGAGTCAGCTCCGGCAGCCCCCGACCCCGCCGCCAGCGAGCCGGGCAGCAGCGGCGCGGACGCGGCCGCCGGCTCCAGGGAGACCCCGCTGAACCAGGAATCCGCCCGCAAGAGTGAACCGCCCGCCGCGGTGCGCAGACAGAGCTATTCCAGCACCAGCAGAGGTAGGAGGCTGGAGAGGGGCTGGGGAGGGGGCGGCGGAGCCCCGGCGCGGAGCGGGGGGCGGCCGGGAGCGGGCGCCCAGGGCGCGGGGTCCCGCGGCGGAGCGCGAGCCTGCAGCTGCGCCCGAAGCCCGGAGCACCCCCTCGCCCCTCCCCCCTCCGCCCCCCAGAAATGTTGCAAACTTTTGCAGCCCGTTCTCGGCTTGCGGGAGGAGAGGGGGGCGGGGGAGGCGGCGGGAGGGTTGACAGCCGGCGGACCCAACCCCTGGCTTTGATTTTTCTGCAAAGACAGGAGGAAAGCCGCGTTGCCGAAATGAAATACGCTCCCCAAAATACGGAGAATCAAGGAGTGGGGGCCCGGGAAAGAAACTTTTAAAGCGGCAGTGTCCTTTTAAGAAGGAAAAAAAAAAAATATATATATATATATCTGCTTATGGCCACCCTCCTCCTCCTTTACCTTTTCCCCTCTTGACAGTTTCGGCCCCAGCTGCTGGAGTCGGGGGTGTGTTTTCGGTCCCCCGCAGAGCTTGGGGGGTGGGAGGAATGAGTAACCGGGGAAGCCCCGGGGGTTAAGGAGAGGGGGCGCTGCGGGGTCTGGGGGCGACGCGGGCACCCTCTCTGGAGTACAGCGATGGATTTGGGCTTTGGAGGAAAGGCCAGAAGAAACAGGGTGCGGGCGCGCGAGGTGCTAGCCAAGTTGTGTTGCGGGAGCGGCGAGGGGAGATGCGCAAGTTTGCAGACCCGGGTTCGGAGCCCAGCGCCCGGGCTGGCGGGGGCGTGTGCGCGCCAGCGCACCTAGGGCGGCGGTCCGGTGGGGCACTCCACGCGCAGTCGGAGTTAGCCGCTACAAAAAAACAAGCAGAGCAAGAAAGCTCGATAGGCACCCAAACTTATTTCTGCCTTGGGAATCCTTCCCTTTCTGAGATTCCTAGTGTTTCTGCAATAACCCGGGGCTGGTCAGTGCAAGTTGAATGCTGGTTGGATAGTGAGAGCGATTTTTCCCCTCCCTGGGAGATTTGTACACTTCATTTTGGTGTTTGGAGTGTGTATGGGGGCTGGGGGGCGGGCTCCGATGCCCCTCCTGGCGTTTTCCTAGTTAAAGTAGGTTGTTGAGGAAAGCTTACTCTCTCTCTCTCTCTTTCTTAAAGGTGTTTGAACCTGATGTGGGATTTTTTTCTTACCCCCCTCGGGTGTGGGGGATTATTTATTTGAATGCGCCTGGAGTTTTCAAAGAGCAGGAGGAAGCTACGGCTTTAATTACTGTTGTAAATAATGTATAAATCACGCCTGTCACTCCGGAGGAAGCGGGCTAGCGGGAGCTGCCCGGGGTTGGGGACAGAGAGGATCTCTCCAACCCTGGCTTGGGCACCGGCCCAGCGCGCCCCCTCCTCTTGCCACTGGGCTTCAGGCGGCGAATGGGGAGGGCTGGGGAAAGGCGAACCCGGCCCTGAGAGCCGCTCCCTTCCTCTTCGATGATATAGTTGGAGGTAGGAATATGGCTGATCATGTGCTGGCTGTTTTACAGTTATCCCCCCCCCCCCCCGCCCCACCTTAGCCACACCCCCTGTCCGGGCGCTTTCCCATTCACGGAATTCGAGTACAGTAAAAGCCATCAGGATGACACACGCGAAAAACATTTAATTAAAGGCGATTTCTGAAGAGTGACCACGCCGAACCGCGGTTTGAGCTAGAGGGGGGCAGTAAGGCTGGGGCGAAAGGGAAGGGGATGAGGGCTGGGGGCCGGACCTGCAGCTAGATCGGTGAGTTTGTGTGCGGAAAGCTTTTGGCTGCAAAGAGTATATTTAGACCCTGAGACGGTGGATTTGGAATGCGAGCGGGTTATGTAACAGGGTTAATCAGAAACACTGGAGAAAATCCCCTTCATGTGTTTCTGAGGCTTTTTTTCCTCTCTCTCTTTTTAAAAAGGAAGAGCATAGTATATAGGAAGCGGCACTAATTTATGGTTTGTGTTATCACCCCCCCCTTTTCAGCCCCTCCCCCCTCCGGTATGTTATTAGCATCTTCAGGTGTCATTCTTGCCAGAAGGTGTTCTTGCAAGAGATAGGGGTGGCAAGCTGCAGAACCGACTAGCAAATCCGTAACTTGCTGTTCTTGCAAATTATATAACGCCAGGGCATTCAATACCACCTAGGCTCAGCACAAAGGGGAGAGGGATAAACTAGGAGTAGGATGCATCTTATGCAGCTGACCTGCTGACCTATATCCCCTTTCCTCTTAGAGCCCCCCCCCCCCCATTCTGTCCATCCCTGGCCATGGCTCTTAGGAGATTTAGTGGGAGGGGGGAGGTAAGGCCCAAACACTCAACTCACATCCTGCACGCAGGCACTAGGTTATATAACAGTCTGAATGGAAAAAGGAAGGTCAGAGATGGAGGCATCCTTTAGCTAACACAGCAGTAGTAATAGCTTCCAGAAATTATGTGCATTTGCAGACTTTAACCTCAGATGTAGCGTCTGCTCCTCAGGGGTACCAATCTTTGTGTGTGAGCTGGGAGAAAAAGAGAGAATGTGTAAGTATGCCTGGTAGTTGAGAGTGATTTGAAAATGGGAAATGTTTGGGTTTTCAGATGATGTAATGGAGTTGGCAGAATATGCAAGTCTGCTTCCAGAGTGTAAGCAGTAAGAAAATTGGAGCTGGCATCCAGTATTAATGTTGCATAAATTACAATATCGGAAAAAAATTAACCTACACACTAGGTGATTACGCCTTTTAAATACTTAAAACATAAAGGCACACGACTCAAAGAAAAAGCAAACATCATCACCTTATAATTAGCATTTTCAACCTCAAGGAGGGTTGAGTGGAGTTCTTTGCATTGGGGAAAATGGGAAGCTTTCTGACTTGGGAGATGCTGCCCAAAGAGATAGCGGTTAGCCTCTAGCCAGTGAGTGTTTGAAGTCCACAGAGAATGTGGTCTGGATTCTCATGACATTGAGGTGACCTCATGAGACATTACCTAGATAGACTTGAGGCTATTGCTGAATTCCTACCTCCTGGGAATTCAAGTGTGAATGGGCTGTGTACCTTTAGCGCCTGAGCTTCCAAAATCAGATGTGTGACTTTATAATCTGAAAGATGACCTCCCCCCATCCTTACAACGGCAGGGAACCTTAGCAGTTTTAATGAAACTCTTCCGTTTTCTAGGTGGTATTAATGATGGCTGGTGTCATTCAGTCCCATCTTTACAGCACAATGAAAACCAGAGAAAAAGACAGGCAAGAGGCAACATGGGACGTAAGAAGGAAGCGGAAAAAAACCACAGGGAATCTTTAATTTAACAAGGCTTTCAGAGACTTCAGGGAGCCATGAGCGTTGTGACATAACTGTTGTTAAAAAACCCTTTTTCAGAACCTCGTTATTATATGCGTGCCGGAAGCTTACATATTTTACTTCAGTAAAGTTATCCTCACAGGGCTGGATTCCATGCACTGGGTTTGCAACACCAGTGCAGAACGTTCAAGGCTTTTAGAGCAAGCTGACCTAAGAGAAAAATCGAAGCCAAAAGATGGGATTAGCATTGAAAAAAAAGCTCGGTTGGGTTGAGATCGAACCCCTGGAAGCTTGGCTTAGATTGACTTAAAATCAGTTAACAGGGCCTACACTTTATTTGTAGCCCTGAGGACTTCTAGAACCACAAAACTCCTTGACTGTGAAAGTATGTCCCCTCCTCTCTTCCCTTTAATCTCAGGTGAATCACTTTCTAGTAGGTTCTCTCCCTTAGCAAGTTAGCACCCTTTCTAGAGATGGATTCTCAGATCAACTTTTCCGGCATGAATCTGGCTTCTCTACAGTGAATAAATGAAGCCCTGTAGTTTGAAAGTGCTCCTGGCTGGGAGAAAATCCTTTGCCACAGGGACGAAGTGATTTTTTCTTAAACTGAGGGACTTTAATTTTCCGGTAAATTGCTCATAAAAACATTTATAATTATATGCTTTAAAAATGTAATACAATAATTTTAGAAAATGCATTTCATGATAGTTATGATAACCTTTTTCTGTTGCTCCCCCCCCCTTCTTTCTTAAAAAGAATTGAATTATTAATCTAGAATTCAAGTCTTGAGTGGCTAAAACATTTATAGCAGACTCTTTTTATGTTAGTCACCTGCTGGAATTTTCCAAAACCTACAGGCATGATGTGGAGCCCTTGACTTTAGAAAATGTCTCTTGTTTCTGAAACTGAAGCTCGGATGAAGCCTGCACTGATGCCCCCTCAGGATGAGACCCTTCTGCTTGTGTGTTTGAGGCAGCAGAGGCTGGAGCCCACAGCACATGCCCCTCATTCCACACAGACTCCTGAAGTGGGACACAAGGAGGCCTGAGAATGGGAACGGTGATAGCCAGGCCTCCTGATGACAGTGGTCTGAGGAGTTTGATGACAGCTGAATCTCTTTGGAAGCAAACTGAATACTCTATGGACCTGACCTTTGGAATGCCAGTAAGACCAGCCCTTGGCCAATCTTCTTGTCACTTCTGAGTTAAGATGTACTTTTTCTCCAGATTCATTGTGGTGGTTGTTTCCCCACCCCTGTAGGAGCTTGTAGTGTAATGTTAGAAGGACAGATTGAATTGGGTGTTACTGAAAATTCTCTTGGTGTGGTGTGGTCTCTCTGGGCTACTTTTTTTGAGAGTACTTTCCCTTTCCCCTCCATCTTCCTAGTCCACTTGATGAATTATTATTATTATTATTATTATTATTATTATTATTATTATTATTATTATTATTTTAAGTTTTTGTACGTACTTCTGCATCTGAGAAAGCAAAAATACCTAACTGCATTTCAGGCATCTGGGAAAAGAGATGTCATGTAACTGCCCTGTGTGTGTATGGTATGTGTGTGGGGGGGTATAATTATATATCCTAATAGGATATCTGCTGTCCACCCTCTTTGTCTTCCATGAGCCATGTACAGGGACTTTGAGGTCAGCATCATCCATTCCCTCATGGAGACTCCTGACCCATTGATCCCAGATTAGTGATAAATTCCTCCAGAGCAAGAAGTCCTTTTGAAAGGCCTTCAGTGGTTGGAGCAAACACTAACTTAGACTGTACAATCCTTTCTGAATGTGGAGATTGTATTCCTTGGTCAGAATTCAGGAATAGTCTGCTCTTTCTCTTTTCCTCTCCCCCCCCCATCACTTTTTTACATTTACCTTTTGTATCTAATTCACAATAGGAAGGGTTGCTTTGGAATTAAGCTGTTAAATGTTTCACCCATCTTTGTAGGCTGCTAAAAAATAAAATTGTATCATTTTGAATTAATGCTTTAAAAATCCCAAATAATCAGCATTCAAGTGTTGATTAATATTCAGTAAACCATGATTTTTCTGTAAGGGTACCAAGGCATTACTGATGAATTGATTTTTTTTTCTGACTAACAGGAGATTAATCTGAAATGTTTTTTCTCTTTTCCTTATTGAATGTTTTTTAAAGTGTACTGGTCCCCTTTCCTACCCTAGAAAGAACATTGAGGATATAATTGAATCTTTCCTTGAGGCTTGAGAATCTTATGTGCCACAGGGTCACTATTCTGAGTATGAATTCTGATTGTACATTACAGAACTATAAATGGAGACAGTGTCAGAGACTGGACTAATCTGTCTTGATCCCAGCATGAAAATTGTTTTCTTTTTTTCTTTTCTTTTTGTTAAATCCTCAGCAGGAATGTTTTGTTATTTGCTTCCCTTGTTTTCTAAGTTGAAAGCAGCAAATTAGAAATTTCATTAGTTGATTCTGGTTAATTGAGGTTTTTAATATATAGGAAAATTCCATCTAGCATCTAGTCTTCTTAATTCTTTCTCTAGAGTTATAGGAGATGCAAAATAATTCTTAAATATTCAGGAAGGCTCTTACACTTGCAATAAGTTATATATTTACTATATTACCATAACATCATGTAATGTTCCCTCTACGTAATGGTGGACAGAAATGCCAGCTAATTTTACCTCTTCCTTAGGTAGGTTAAAGAGGTATCTTTGGCAAAGGGGCTCATGAGTCCCGAGTGCTAGAAAGCTCTAAGGTTAGAAGGAAGAACTTTAAGGATGTCGATAAAGAACATTTAGATTGTGCAGAAGGAAGCTCTACTTCCAAGCTCAGGCCTGGGCTTCAGTTGGCACCACCTACATGGAAAGCATCCTTGGAGCCACACCATGGTCAGAGGCTGGCTTCCTTGGGCTTGTCTCACTTGACCTAAGGATAGTATGTGCTTATATCTTGAATGTCACAGTGTAGGGAATTCAGCTTGGGAGTCTTGGTGTTCTTTTCAGTCAGTAACAACTGACTGTTATTTGTTGTTGTTGTCCTTGTTATTGGAACAAAGACATCAAATTGTCTACAGAAATGGGGTGAAATAGGGTGTGGTGAGGAATGGATGTAGCGCAGCTTATGGTTCAGGCAGAGCTGGCTTCTGCTTCAGCTCTTACATACTGATGCTAAAAGGAATTACAGGTAACAATTCCCTTGTGTTCATGGAAGAACAGTTTTTTTCCCCCCTAACAGATTTTTATGGCTTTAACTGACATGTCATCATTGTGAACTGTCTTCCCACATTACATGCTATGGCACATTAACAGTGGCATGGCATTGTGGGTTCTTGGTGATTGGCTTATTGACTGAACTGGAGCCCTGCTGGCTGGTTGGAGAGCCTTGGGCAGTGCCCGTTGATGCTGAGGGTTCAGGTTTCATGTACCTTAAAACATGGCAGAGGACTCCAGGCTGTCCCAGGGAGAGTTTCTATATCAGCAGGTGTGTTTTCTCTGAAACTCCATCAAAGCTTGGGAAAGAATAGGAAGTATTATGGTATAGGGGATTGACAATCCCTAGCCTTCAATATCTTCATGTTAACGGGTGTTGGCATTTCGATCATGAACTATCTTCAAGTTTTCTGAAACAATTAGGGAGTTTCTGCATGTATGCACAGACTGTAATAGGTGAACTCATTTGGGGTGCAGGAAAATGTACCACTTGGTATTGGATCCTCAAGCCAGCGCAAGAGGCAATGCACTGTTAAAAATACCTAGCTTACTTCCGGGGAGGATTTGGCTGAATACTGATGAAGTTTATGAAATATGAATGTAGTGAAGTTGCTGTACGTAAGTGGTAGGCGTGTGTGAAAGGAGTAAGAAGAAATAAAATTGTGTATAAATGACACTCTGAAACTTGATGGAATTGTACACGTGACAAGAATGGCGACATTTGGGTCTGTGCTTAACAGGGGGAAAGAAAGAGGCTCAAAATCTATATGTCAGTCTACAAGTGGGATTAAAAATTGGAGAATATAAAATCATTTATAGGCGAAGAATGCTACCGAGGATAAACAGACAGGTTGCAAAGAATAAAGATGAAATTTCCAGAGAAGGGGAAAAATGATAGAGCAACATTTGACTCTATAATGAGGTATGGTAATCACTGTATTCCAGACTATTAACTATGGTGCTGTTAGTTGGGGAAGCAGTTAGAACCAAACAAAAGGCATAACTAAGAATTTGAGTTTGTGTGGGAGAAATCCTTTTGATCCCCCAAACGTGAATGTAGATGCCGAGACTCCAGGCTGCACGTGATGTAATTTTTCCTGTCTCGTCCTGATTAATTGACAGCCCACTGTATGCTTCTTTCCTGAAGGTGACTTTACAATCTCTAGACACAGACATTTCCCTCCGAAGTGGAGTGAAGGAAGGAGAACCACAGCTAAAGTGTGTCTCACTGGGTGAAGTATTTGGGGGAAAGATAAGAGTGGTGTCAGGGGAAGGGAATAGTGCACTCAGAGATTAAGAAGGCCTGTTTGGGGCTGGGGAGTGGGGGGCCCGTGGATGAAGGCAGGGGATCTCTAGAGGGTAAAGAGACTTCTGTGCAAAAGAAAATGAAATTAGCATTGACTCTGAAATGGCTGGGAATGTGACTTTCTAATTTTAAATTATCTTTAACAAGGGCAATGAAAAGAGGAAAGTTGACACTTTTGAGAAGTTATGACGAACTTGTCGAGAATGCCAATTGACAAAGGCAGGTAAGGGAATACTTGGAAAAACAGCAAGAACAGGTTGAAGGGCACACTGATCTGCTTACTGGGATGGTGAAGGAATTGGTGGGCGTGTTTATTGACTCTTCCAATTAGTTTTCAAGAGACCTGAAGAAATGGACAGAGATGGAGAAAAAGGCAACCAGATGTGATTCTGCCCTTCCAGAAGCAAAGAGGCTTATGTCAACCCATGTGATCGATGCCAGTCACGGCGAGGAGTGACTGTGGAAATTAATGGATTTTCAACATCCAATCACAGAGGAAATGTGTATATTTAGCAAGCCTAAAACCTCTTCAATAAACTGCGTTGCTTTTCATTTTCACTTTCCAGTTATAAAACCAGTGGAAGATGAAAAGCCCACGTGACAATACAGCGTTCACTCCTGGGAACATTTGTGTGACAGGGATATTATATCTGAAAGGACGGGGCAGCTGGGAGGGTGAACTGCCCATAACTCTCAATTGTCCAGGTGATGAAGCACTGGGAAAGCAAAGGCAAATGAAATAATTTGATAATAAAAATGATTTCTCTGTTAGTGACCTGATTACATGACTGATGCTGACAGGTGTGAAACTGCTGGTGTGGCTCTTGCCATCTCTGGCACTCCTCACCAACCCTGGAGGAGCATGGGGTTAGGGGAGTAGGAACCAGGGCAGTTTCTATAGACCAGCCTGTTGACCCAGAAATTGTCAAGTTTCTCAGTGGGAGGGACACAGCCAAAGATTACTGAGGTTCTACAACTTTGTTAGGGCCCCACAGAGAGTCACTAGGAGAATTGATGGGTTCTTGAATGTTCTAGAGCTTCCTTTTTCTTTCTTTCTTTCTTTTTTCTGGGGGGTACCAGGGATTGAACCCAAGGGTGCTTAACCACTGAACCACATCATCACCCCTTTTTATTTTTTATTTTGAGACAGGATCTCGCTAAATTGCTTAGGGCCTCACTAAGTTGCTGAGGCTGGCTTTTTGGTGCACTTGTTTCAGTCTCCTGAGCCACTGGGATTATAGGCGTGCACCACCATGCCTGGTTAAAACCTGCTTTTTAATCTGAGATTGGGGGTATATGTTAGATATGTGAGGTTCACTCATGGTATTGCCACTGGTTCTATTTTATTGGACTACAGTGTGTTAGAGCCAGAAGGGGACCTAAGAACTCTCTAGCTCATCCCTCCATTTAAACCAAAGCTCACCGACATCTAGTGGTATGTATAAAACCATAGCAAGGGTATGACAGGACTCCAGGTCTACTTTCTCAACTAATCTTCCTCCCACTTGTGTGCTGTGCCAGGGTTCTCAGAATTTCCTTTCCTCCAGGAAACCCCTTGAGGGTATTAAGGTATGTGTAGAAACTAATCTGGAATTAGGTAGCAGATGTATATATGAAAATAAGTGAGAGTCATTTTGGCTATGCATCAATTATGGAACATTGTCAGTAACTGTGATTTTAAATCCTATTGGACATTTCTATTATTAATTAAAAATTAGCTAGTGAGCTTATAGCTATGTCAGTAAAGTCATTCTAAAGCATAGTGAAAATAATTCTTGAGTCTCATGTTCTGATTTAGTAGAGAGGAAGACACAGGTTGTGGAGTTGTGCATCTTACCCTGTGCACTTAAGTGTCTCTCTGGCCAGCTTCTTTCTTCAAGGTGAAGGCTGCTGTGCCTTTTATAGGGAAAGCATTAAAAGTCATATTGCAGTGGGAAGGTACTTCTTAATGGGTAAAAAGTTTACAACCTGTTGCTAAATGAAAAGTAACAGTTTTCATCACAGTGTGCAGAGAATCACATCATATTTGTGAAAATAATTCCAGTGTGTATACATGTATAGATAAGAGATATTTTATAATTCTATCAATAGATTAACTTTGACTCAATAAATTAACATTTCAAAACAATGAAATAATAAAGTAGTTATCTACAGATGGTGGGATTATCTGAGTTTCTTTCTTTTTTTGCTTTTCTGTATTTTTTGAGTTTCCTGCATTTTGTGTGTATTACTAAAAATAAATCTTTTTTTCCCAAAAAAACATTGTTTCTGTGTTGTGTAGCTGGGGATGCTTTGAAGAAACTCATTTCAAACTTAGTGTGTTACTGGTCCAAGTTTTCCAGCCCCAAAAGCAAAGAGCAATACCTTTTTTTTTTTTTTCTTTTTTTGATTCCAGGTATTGAACCCAGGGGGCACTTAACAATTGAGCCACATCATATGCTCTTTTTTTTTTATTATTATTTTGAGATAGGGTCTTGCTAAGTTGCTGAGGCTGGCTTTGAACTTGTGATCCTCCTGCCTCAGAACTCCTGAGCCACTGAGATTACAGGTGTGCCCCACTGTGCCCAGCTGCCAGCAATACCTTTCAACAGTCACATTCAGCCAGGAAAACTGGAGTCATTCATCTTGAATATTAAAAGGAGTGTCCTAATTTTGGAACTTCTTGACCCTCTAGAGTAATATCTTTGAAACATTCATATTGCAATCCACAAGGAGAAAGATATTGTAAGCCAGTATACACATAGTCACATGAGTCTGCACATAGAGACAGACACGCAAGAAAAATAAACTTTTGCTATAAAATATTTACCCTTTAGCTGTGGTGCACAGTGGTGCACTGTTATTTTTGCTCTATTATTTAAAATACAGGTCATGAGCCATCAAATTGGTTTCTTGATCTATTTATGAGCTGCTTCTTGCAAATCTGAAAAACCCTATCCTGGGCATGGGGTAGAAGCAGCCCTTCAGGGGCCTGGGGCCTGGCAGTGGGAGGGAGGAGGGAAGTGTTTCCACAGTAACTGATGTTGAGCTCCAGGTGTTACTCATTATGATTCCAAGGAGGAAGTAGGGGAGGACAAATAATGTAAATACTTATTATTATAATCATACAGTATCTTTATGCCACTTTTAGCACATGCTCATTAATATCCTATTTCATTTAGATATGCATCTGCCTTGACTGGTTTAGAATATAAATACTTGGATCCCCACCCCTTGCTTTGAATATATATCAGTGTGCAAGAGCCCAAGGGTGGTATTTTTTTTTCATTCAATCAATATTTACTGTGTGCCAGGCACTGTGCTAGACTCTGTGGATAAAGCAGCACACAAGAGAGGCCAGGTTCCTGCCTTCCTGAATCTTATGTTCTATTGGTAGCTTTTTGTAGGGTAATGCACTGGGTCCAGACACTTCAAACAGTTCTCTTCTTAATGTGTCTTGAACTTGACTTTTTTCACCTCTGTACCTTTCATGTATCTTCAGCCTTCCCCTCCTCCAGTCCCTCACCCAATCTGTCCTCATCTGTCTTTGCTTATGGGAAATCCTACCATCAATTCAACTACAGCAAGATCCACTCTGTCCTTCCTGAAGTCCCCAAGTTCCCTTTGACAGTTATCAATCACATAGGCCTTGCTCATGCAACAAACATGTAACTCTTCCTCTGTCACTCTGCCAGTTCCTTTTATACTGTCTTATAGTGCTTTTTTTTTTGTATGTAACCTTAGTCTCCCCAAGATAGGGATCATGGATAAATGTTTTAATTCTCAGTTTTTGAATAAAGAAGGTGCTCAAGAACTATGCAGGTAATCTTTCCCATGTTGCTGGGCAGAGCTCTTGCTTTCTCAAGAGACCAGCTCAGCACTCTGAACTCTGCAAACTTATCTCCAACTTGCTTGTAACTTCCAACTGGGTTTTGGGTTTGGACCCTTGTTTGTCCCACCTCCAGCTCTCCTGGATCCACCATCCCCTCCATTGCATCCTCCAGTCTTGAATACCTCAGACTGAGGCTGGCCATGTTGGGAGAGTAGTACACATATCTGGCTGTTAGAAACTTGGAGTGAGAGAGACCTGCGTCGTAGCCTGGGTGTGCTGTTTGACCTTAGGTAAGTTCATTAACCTCTCAGTCTGTTTTCTCACCTGAAAATTGGGGATGCTGCAGATGTACCTTGGGAGTATCAAGTGTGATAATGAATACCCAGGGCTTGGCAAGAAGCCTGGCAAACATGAAGAGTAGCTCCCGGGATGGTGGCGATGATGATGGAGCACATGTGAGGGGTGGTGAAGCTCCCTTGCCACTGTCCTCTTCTCCTTATCAGGTCTCTAGTCGCCTTTGCATGGAGCATCCCTCCTTGATGCTGGTTGGCTGCTCTGTGAAATAAGCAAGAGTCTCAGGGCATCAGTGGAGGTTCTGACGCTTTTCCTTTTACTGCCAGGTCCATTTCTGGGACTGGATCCAGCCCCCATCTCGCAGTTCAGCTACCCTGGGCTGGATCTTGCCAAGGGAGGACGGATCACTTAAGTTCAACCCATCCACCACTTGTTGGGCTTTCCTGATGTTACCTCTCATGCCTTCAGCTGAACCAGAAGTGGCTGCTCATTTCCTCCCTCCCTGCAACCCCATCATTCCTGTGGTCCCCCATGACTAATTCTCCCAATTTGAGGATGGGGTAGACCCCTCCTTCCAACCATGCTCTGTGCTCTCAGTTCTAGCATCTTATCGTTCCCGGCCCTCCCTTCTCCTTCACTCACTTTCTCCTCCCTGCCAAAAAATCCCATTGGAGAAGGCTGTCTGCAAGGGCTCCATTCAACTTGTTCTACATTAATGCTCCACTGTGGTGACCCACTGCTGAGTCGTTCACTTGTAATGTAATCTAATAATTTACATGCACTTTGCAAGCAATACTCTCAGAGACTCACAACCTGCTCAAAATTACTCTGCTGTTACAGTATTTGAGCTGATGAGAGAGCAGCGTGAGAAAGAGTGGTTATTGGTACCACAATAGTTTTGGGTAAACCTGGGAAAATCATGTTAGCGCAAGGATAGGGAGTGCTGATGGATTATAATATCCTTTCTTAGAGGATCAATTAAACTTGCCACGGGGTCTTTTATTGATTTTACTTGTCATTGGACTAGGATAGGTCAAAGTACAGCGAGGTAGGGGCGGAGCAAGCTGGGGAAAATGACTCAAGAGTGGAATCCTGTTTTTCTGGGATGCTCCGAAAAGGTTTTTAGTTTTGATATACTGCATGACTTTTACAGAATTAATTGGCACTGTGATTAGGTGGTTTTATTTCTTCACTCAAACATGTTGGAAGCTGATTCTAATATGCAGTAATAATGAAAATAGAGTAATGTTGTAATAATAGTGCCATTGTAAAGCGAATTACACCATTAAGCATCTATTTTGTCTAATTTGTATTGTGATAGTGTGGGTGATACACAGAGACTTTGAGTAGCT